TGTGTGGGGGGAAATGCGCCTCAACCGCGGTGGCCGAATGCCCCACGCCGCGACCACACCATATTAAGGCCGGCCGCAGCGCCGCGGTGCCACGTAGCACGGGGGAGGTCATCCAATCCCCTGATCGCCGGAAACCGTGAGAATTAATCCCGATAAGGGTCTCTCGGATAAAAACCGGTCGGCCAGGCGACCTCCCCTCGGAGCTCTATGGGGGGGGGGGGGGGGGGAATGAGTGCGGGTGTGTTCATGTGAGGTGAGGTGAGGGGGACGCGGGGTCGGCTCCGTTGCTTGGTGGTGGCGAGGTCGGGGATTTGGTGCCTGCCGAACGGCTTCGTGGCGGCGGCATCACAACTAACACTGTCCATAGACTAACAGTGCCCGTAGACTAACACTGCCCATAGACTAACATTGCCCATAGACTAACATTACCCATAGACTAACACTGCCCATAGACTAACATTCCCTATAGATTAACATAAACTAACATTGCCCATAGACTAACACTGTCCATAGACTAACATTGTCCATATACTAAAATTACCCATAGACTAACACTACCCATAGACTAACACTGCCCATAGACTAACACTGCCCATAAACTAACATTGCCCATAGACTAACACTGCCCGTAGACTAACACTGTCCGTAGACTAACACTGCCCATAGACTAACACTGCCCATAGACTAACACTGCCCATAGACTAACACTGCCTGTAGACTAACACTGTCCGTAGACTAACACTGTCCACAGACTAACACTGCCCATAGACTAACACTGCCCATAGACGAACACTGCCTGTAGACTAACACTGTCCGTAGACTAACACTGTCCACAGACTAACACTGCCCGTAGACTAACACTGCCCATAGACTAACACTGCCTGTAGACTAACACTGTCCGTAGACTAACACTGCCCATAGACTAACACTGCCCATAGACTAACACTGCCCAAAGACTAACACTGCCCATAGACTAACACTGCCTGTAGACTAACACTGTCCGTAGACTAACACTGCCCATAGACTAACACTGCCCATAGACTAACACTGCCCATAGACTAACACTGCCCGTAGACTAACACTACCTATAGACTAACACTGCCCATAGACTAACACTGCCCATAGACTAACATTGCCCATAGACTAACACTGCCCATAGACTAGCACTGCCCATAGACTAACACTGCCCGTAGACTAACACTGCCTATAGACTAACACTGCCCATAGACTAACACTGCCATAGATTAACACAGCTCATAGACTAACACTGCCCATAGACTAACACTGCCCATAGACTAACACTGCCCATAGACTAACATTGCCCACAGACTAACACTGCCCACAGACTAACACTGCCCATAGACTAACACTGCCCATACACGAACATTGCCCATTGACTAACACTGCCCATAGACTAACACTGCCCATAGACTAACACTGCCCATAAAGCGGTGGTATGAACCCATCGAACCCGAGATCGATTCCCGCTCACGGCCAATACCGAGTAACGATTCTCTGCCCTAGGTAGACTCAGCCTTAAAAACGGAGTACCTGGTGCAGTGGTCTGTAGTAAACATCGCCACTGGGGGAGACAAAGGCGGTCGGGCGGGCGTGGTGGTGTTGGACTTTAATAGGTGCTCGCTAACAGCACTTGCCCCTACAGCCTGTTGGAGGTTATATGGGGGTATCATTTTGTGGTGAGTGTGGTGAGTGTGTGGTGAGTGTGTGTGGTAGGTGAGTGTGTGGTGAGTGTGTGTGTGGTAGGTGAGTGAGTGTGTGGTGAGTGTGTGTGGTAGGTGAGTGAGTGTGTGGTAAGGGTGTGTGGTAGGTGAGCGAGTGTGTGGTGAGTGTGTGTGTGGTAGGTCAGTGAGTGAGTGGTGAGTGTGTGTGGTAGGTGAGTGAGTGTGTGGTGAGTGTGTGGTAGGTGAGTGAGTGTGTAGTGAGGGTGTGGTAGGTGAGTGAGTGTGTGGTGAGTGTGATCGGTGAGTGAGTGTGTGGTGAGTGAGTGTGGTGAGTGAGTGTGGTGGGTGAGAGTGAGTGAGTGTGGTGGGTGAGTGAGTGTGGTGAGTGAGTGTGGTGAGTGATTGTGGTGGGTGAGAGTGAGTGAGTGTGGTGGGTGAGTGAGTGTGTGGTGAGTGTGGTGAGTGAGTGAGTGTGGTGGGTGAGTGTGGTGAGTGAGTGTGGTGGGTGAGTGAGTGTGTGGTGAGTGTGTGTGGTAGGTGAGTGAGTGTGTGGTGAGTGTGTGTGTGGTAGGTGAGTGAGTGCGTGGTGAGTGAGTGAGTGTGATGAGTAAGTGTGCGTGGTGAGTGAGTGTGTGGTGAGTGTGTGTGGTAGGTGAGTGTGTGGTGAGTGTGTGGTAGGTGAGTGAATGTGTGGTGAGTGTGTGTGTGGTAGGTGAGTGAGTGTGTTGTGAGTGTGTGTGGTAGGTGAGTGAGTGTGTGGTGAGTGAGTGTGGTGGGTGAGAGTGAGTGAGTGTGGTGGGTGGGTGGGTGAGTGAGTGTGGTGAATGAGTGTGGTGGGTAAGTGAGTGTGGTGAGTGGGTGAGTGTGTGGTAAGTGTGTGTGGTAGGTAAGTGTGTGTGGTGGGTGAGTGCGTGTGGTGGGTAAATGAGTGTGGTGAGTGAGTGTGGTGAGTGAGTGAGTGTGGTGAGTGAGTGTGGTGAGTGAGTGAGCGAGTGTGGTGAGTGGGTGAGTGAGTGTGGTGAGTGAGTGTGGTGAGTGTGGTGAGTGAGTGAGCGAGTGTGGTGAGTGGGTGAGTGAGTGTGGTGAGTGAGTGTGGTGAGTGAGTGTGGTGAGTGAGTGATTGATTGTTGTTCGACCATACTTCACCATTCCCGTCCACCTGCAACACAAACTTGGAGTGGTGGTGGTGGAGGGTTCAGTGACTCTGAGCTCGGCTCTCGTCCGCATGGGGGTCTCCACTTTGCCGTTCGACTGCCCTCTGCTGGTACGCGCGGAAAATAACAACAGCCCACAACCGGTTACCGGTTTTAATCGGTTACGGGCTCGAACCGGTTGTCAAGCTCGAACCGGTTACCGTCTGGGCCGATCAATCTCGATCAGGTTTCACTCTCTCGTGATATCAACACACAGACAAAGATCCCCCGGGTAGCTTCCAACAGACTGTTGGGGCAAGTGCTGTTAGCAGCGAGTAGCAGCAGCGCTTATACACAGACAAAGATCCCCCATGTAGCCTCTAGCAGACTGTTGGGGCAAGTGCTGTTAGTAGCGAGTAGCAGCAGCGCCTATACACAGACAAAGATCCCCCATGTAGCCTCTAGCAGACTGTTGGGGCAAGTGCTGTTAGTAGCGAGTAGCAGCAGCGCCTATACACAGACACAGATCCCCCATGTAGTCTCTAGCAGACTGTTGGGGCAAGTGCTGTTAGTAGCGAGGGGGTGGGTGACAGCGCCTATACACAGATAAAGATCCCCCGAGTAGCCTCCAACAGGGCTGCAGGGGCACTCACCACACACTCACCACACTCACTCACCACACACTCACCACACTCATTCACCACTCATTCACCACCCACTCGCCACACACTCACTCACCACACACACACTCACCACACACTCACTCACCCACCACACATTCACCACACTCATTCACCACTCATTCACCACCCACTCACCTGCCACACTCACTCACCCACCACACTCACCACACACTCACCTACCACACACACTCACTACACACTAACCATACTCTCACCACACACTCACTAACTCACCACATACTCACCACACACTCACTCACCCACCACTCATTCACCACTCATTCACCACCCACTCACCTGCCACACACACTCACCACACACTCACCGCACACTCACCTACCACACACACTCACCACACACTCACCACACACACACTCACCACACTCACTCACCACACACTCACTCACCACACTCCTCACTCACCACACTCACCCACCACATTCACCACACGCACACTCAAAAGCACACTCCCCCCGTAACAGGCTGTAGGGTCAAGTGCTGTTAGCAAGCAGCACCGATGAGGGGGTTGGTGGCACACGAGGGGGTGGGTGGCACACGAGGGAGTGGGTGACACACGAGGAGGTGGGTGACACACGAGGGGTGGGTGACACACGAGGGGTTGGGTGGTACACGAGGGGGTGGGTGGCACACGAGGGGGTGGGTGGCACACGAGGGGGTGGGTGACACACGAGGGGCTGGGTGACACGAGGGGGTGGGTGACACACGAGGGGGTGGGTGGCACGCGAGGGGGTGGGTGGCACACGAGTGGGCTGGGTGGCACACGAAGGGCTGGGTGGCACACGAGGGGCTGGGTGACACACGAGGGGGTGGGTGACACACGAGGAAGTTGGTGGCATACGAGGGGGTGGGTGACACACGAGGGGGTGGGTGACACACGAGGGGGTGGGTGGCACACGATGGGGTGGGTGGCACACGAGGGGGTGGGTGGCACACGAGGGGGTGGGTGGCACAGCACCACGCCCGACCGCCTTTGTCTCCTCAGTGGCGATGTTCACGGCCACACCACACCGGGGACTCATTTGAGGCCGAGTCGACCTAGGGGAGGCCCAAGACCCGTTCAAATTATCACCACCGGTTGCTGGTTGCGGAATCGAACTCGGGTGTCTGCCCCGCGCGCTAACCGCTGCACCACCGCTCACCCACCACACCTACGCACTCACCTACCACACTCACCCACCCCACCACACCTACCACACTCACTCACCCCACCCTCACCACCTACTCACCCCACCCACACTCACTCACCCCACCACACCTACCACACTCACTCACCCCACCACACCTACCACACTCACCTACCAAACTCACTCACCCCACCCTCACTCACCTACTCACCCCACCCACCCCACACGCCTTCTCACCACACCTGTCACTCCCTCACCGCAGACCCACCCATCCATCCCATGCGCACCCACCTCCTTTCTGCCCCTCCGCGTCTATATAAACCACTGCACCACCTTGTCAGTTTCAGCGTTACAGCTCCAAGCTCCTGTACACCTCCCCCCGTGTCTCTGTCTCCTCTCTCCTCTCCTCGCTTGTCCATCCGCCTGTCTCTCTCCTCTCTCTCCCTTCTTGTGTCTCCTTTCTCTCTTATCTCTCTCACAGCACCCCCCTCCAACGATGTCCTTCAGCTCCCGTTCCATCGGCGGCTACGGTGGCATGTCCACGCGTCTGGGCCGAGGGTCCGCAAGCGTCTACGAAGGCGGCGGCTCTTCTGGGGGCTACCGCATCTCGCAATCCTCGATGGGTGGCGGAGGTGGCTATGGTGGTGGCTATGGTGGTGGTGGTGGCTATGGAGGTGGCTGCGCCATCAGCTCCTCCTTCCAGAGCTTCGGTGCCTTCGGAGGAGGTGGTGCAGGTGGCGGAGGGTTGAGCGGTGGGAATGAGAAGGTCGAGATGCAGGGACTCAACGATCGCCTGGCTGAATACATCGAGAAGGTGTGGGGTGGTTGGGTGGTTGGTTGGGTGGGTGGTTGGTTGGGTGGGTGGGTGGTTGGTTGGTTGGGTGGGTGGTTGGTTGGGTGGTTGGTTGGGTGGGTGGTTGGTTGGGTGGGTGGTTGGTTGGGTGGGTGGTTGGTTGGGTGGTTGGGTGGGTGGTTGGTTGGGTGGTTGGGTGGGTGGTTGGGTGGGTGGGTGGTTGTTTGGCTGGGTGGTTGGTTGGGTGGGTGGTTGAGTGGGTGGGTGGTTGAGTGGGTGGGTGGTTGAGTGGGTGGGTGGTTGGTTGTTTGGGTGGTTGGTTGGGTGGTTGGTTGGGTTGGTGGTTGTTTGAGTGGGTGGTTGGTTGGGTGGTTGGTTGAGTGGGTGGTTGGGTGGTTGGGTGGCGGAGGTGATGGAGGTGACCGTGGCTCGATGGTTCGCGTGCCAAGCATTGCTGCTGCCTTTGCCCGCTAACGCAGCACTGGCACCAATTGCCTGCTGAGGCTATATGGGGGAAATTTTTGGGTGCGCACGTGTCTGTGAGTGTTTGTATGGGGAGCGGTAGTGTAGCGGTTAGCGTTACGCTGCGCTATGAACCTGGCGATCCGGGATCGATTCCCGCTCACGGCCAACACCAGTGACGATTATTTGAACCGGTCCTGGGCCTCCCCTAGGTTGGCTCAGCCTCAAATGAGTACCTGGTGTGATGTGTAAACATCGCCACTAGGGAGACAAAGGGGGCCGGGCGTGGTGTTGGTCACCCACCCCCTCATGTTCCACAGTTCTGCTGACGTAGATGCCACTGGTTCTTCACGTTCTGCAGATGTAGATGCCACTGTCTCTTCACGTTCTGCAGATGTAGATGCCACTGGTTCTTCACGTTCTGCAGATGTAGATGCCACTGGTTCTTCACGTTCTGTAGATGCCACTGGTTCTTCACGTTCTGCAGATGTAGATGCCACTGTCTCTTCACGTTCTGCAGATGTAGATGCCACTGGTTCTTCACGTTCTGTAGATGCCACTGGTTCTTCACGTTCTGCAGATGTAGATGCCACTGGTTCTTCACGTTCTGTAGATGCCACTGGTTCTTCACGTTCTGCAGATGTAGATGCCACTGGCTCTTCACGTTCTGCAGATGTAGATGCCACTGGCTCTTCACGTTCTGCAGATGTAGATGCCATTGGCTCTTCACGTTCTGCAGATGTAGATGCCACTGGCTCTTCACGTTCTGTAGATGTAGATGCAACTGACTCTTCACGTTCTGCAGATGTAGATACCACTGGTTCTTCACGTTCTGCAGATGTAGATGCCACTGGTTTTTCATTTTCTGCATATGTAGATGCCACTGGCTCTTCACGTTCTGCAGATGTAGATGCCACTGGTTCTTCATGTTCTGCAGATGTAGATGCCACTGGTTCTTCACGTTCTGCAGATGTAGATGCCACTTGTTCTTTATGTTCTGCAGATGTAGATGCCACTGGCTCTTCACGTTCTGCAGATGTAGATTCCACTGGCTCTTCACGTTCTGCAGATGTAGATGTCACTGGTTCTTCATGTTCTGCAGATGTAGATGCCACTGGCTCTTCACGTTCTGCAGATGTAGATGCCACTGGCTCTTCACGTTCTGCAAATGTAGATGCCACTGGCTCTTCACGTTCTGCAAATGTAGATGCCACTGGCTCTTCACGTTCTGCAGATGTAGATGTCACTGGCTCTTCATGTTCTGTAGATGTAGATGCCACTGGCTCTTCACGTTCTGCAGATGTAGATGCCACCACCGCCATCTAGTGCGCGACGGTTGAACTTACGACTCGTATCTTTGAAACTTCGTAAGTCGTGTTCGCAAGTAGAGGTAGACCCTGTGCTAACAGCACTTGTCCCAACAGTCTGTTAAGGCTATACGGGGGGGATATTTGTCTTTGTGGTGCAGGTGCGATTCCTGGAGAATGCCAACCAGGAACTGGAGCTACGGATCAAGGAGTTGCTGAAGGGAAAGGGTCCCGGCAACAAAGACTACAGCGCATACTACACCACCATGCAGGAGCTCAGGGAAAAGGTGAGTGGGTGGATGAGTGGATGGGTGGGTGGGTGAGTGGGTGGGTGGATGGGCAAGTAAGTGGGTGGGTGAGTGGATGGGTGGGTGAATGGGTGGGTGGGTAAGTGGGTGGATGGGTTGGTAGGTTAAGGGCGTGGGTGGGTGAGCGAGTGGGTGGGTAAGTGTGTGGGCGGATGTGTAAGTGGGTTGGGTGAGTGGGTGGGTTGGTAAGTGGGCGGGTAAGTGGATAGGTGGATAAGTTGGTGAGTGGGTGGGTGGGTGGGCGAGTGGGTGTGTGGGTGGGTGAGTGGGTGGGTAAGTTGGTGAGTGGGTGGGTACGTGGATGGGTGAGTGGGTGGGTAAGTTGGTGAGTGGGTGAGTGGGTGGGTGGGTGAGTGGTTGGGTGGGTGGGTGGGTGAGTGAGTGGGTGGGTGAGTTAGTGGGTGGGTGGGTGAGTTAGTGGGTGGGTGGGTGAGTGAGTAAGTGGGTGGGTGGGTGAGTGGATAGGTGGGTGGGTGAGTGGGTGGGTGAATGGGTGGGTGGGTGAGTGGGTGGGTAAGTTGGTGGGTAGGTTAGTGAGCAGGTGTGTGCATCTCCGTGCGTGTCTATATAGATCATCTTTTGGCGAGTGTCTCACCCTGCAAAAAAAAGAAAAGTGAACTTGAGACTAAGCATTGGGACATTGGGAAAATTTAAAAGCAACGCCCTCCAAACCCTCAATCCCCCCCCCCCCACCACCTTGCAGATCCTGGCTCAGATCATGGAGAACGCCCGGGTCAGCCTGGAGATTGACAACGCGCGACTGGCAGCCGACGACTTCCGCAGCAAGTGAGAGAAAATTCCTTCCCCCCCCCCACGCTCCATCTCCTCCGCCACCCTGCCAGCCATTCACACTATCACACTATCACCCTGCCACCCTATCACACTATCACCCTGCCACCCTATCACACTATCACCCTGCCACCCTATCACACTATCACACTATCACCCTGCTACCCTATCACACTATCACCCTGCCAGCCATTCACACTATCACCCTGCCACCCTATCACACTATCACCCTGCCACCCTATCACCCTGCCACCCTATCACCATGCCACCCTATCACCCTGCCACCCGATCACACTATCACACTATCACCCTGCCACCCTATCACCCATTCACACTATCACCCTGCCACCCTATCACCCTGCCACCCGATCACACTATCACCCTATCACCCTATCACACTATCACCCTATCACCCTATCACACTATCACCCTGCCACCCTATCGCCCTGTCACCCTGCCACCCTATCACACTATCACCCTATCACCCTGCCACCCTATCACACTAACACCCTATCGCCCTGTCACCCTGCCACCCTATCACACTATCACCCTATCACCTTGCCACCCTATCACACTATCACCCTATCGCCCTGTCACCCTGCCACCCTATCACACTATCACCCTATCACCTTGCCACCCTATCACACTATCACCCTATCGCCCTGTCACCCTGCCACCCTATCACACTATCAACCTATCACCCTGTCACCCTATCACACTATCACCCTGCCACCCTATCACCCTGCCACCCTATCACACTATCACCTTGCCACCCCATCACCCTGCCACCCCATCATCCTGCCACCCATTCACACTATCACCCTATCACACTATCACCCTGCCACCCCATCACCTTGCCACCCGCAGGCGACGGCAAGGAGGTGTGTGTGTTGTGGCCAGCGCTCTGCGCGTGCGATGGGATACACGCTCAATCTCTCCCCCTCCCCACCACCATCTCCCCCTTTGCTCTGCTCCCCACCTCCCCCCTCCTCCACCACCTCCCCCTGGCGCCGTGTCCCAGGTGGGAGACGGAGCTGGCTCTGCGCAGCTCCGTGGAGGCGGACATCAACAACCTGCGCGGGCTGCTGGACGAGTACAGCATGGCGCGCATGGGGCTCGAGGGGGAGATCGAGAGCCTCCGCGAGGAGCTCATCTTCATGCGCAAGAACCACGAGGAGGTGAGGGCAAGGGGAGGGAGAGGGGGGGGGGAGAGGGCGGAGGGAGGGGGGGGGGAGAGGGGGGAGGGAGGGGGGGAGGGGGGAGGGAGGGGGAGAGGAGGGGATGGAGAAGGGGAGGGACAGAGGGGGGCAGAAGGAGGAGGGAGGGAGAGGGGAGATACATGAAAAAAAAGAAAAAAATAAGAAAGGAAAAAAAGAAAAGAAAAAAAGAGAGGGGAGAGATTGAGAGGGGGGGGGGGGAGAGGGAGGGAAAGGGAGGGGTATGGAGGGAGGGGGAGAGGGAGGGGGGAGACGGAGGGAGGAGAGGGGAGAGGGAGGGAGGAGAGGGGAGAGGGAGGGAGGAGAGGGGAGAGGGAGGGAGGGAGGAGAGGGGAGAGGTAGGGAGGGGGTAGAGGGAGGGAGGGGGGAGAGGGAGGGAGGGGGGAGAGAGGTGGAAGAGGGGAGAGGGAGGGGGGAGAGGGAGGGAGGGGGGAGAGGGAGGGGGGTACAGGGAGGGGGGGGGGTCTAAGGACTGACAGGCGTGTTCGTGAATCGAGGCATACCTCTTCAAGTGCGTGGGGGTTACGTTCCTGGCAAATGACGTGTCGGGGGGAAAAACCGCGTTCAACATGATCACACGGCAACAAAAATAACAACCCACCACACACCATCGTTTCCTCACAGCACGAATCATTCCCCACCCAACGGATGCACCCCTGGCACGGCACGCCCTGTGCAGGGTGGTGGCAGGGTGATGGGGTGGCAGGGTGATGGGGTGGCAGGGTGATGGGGTGGCAGGGTGATGGGGTGGCAGGGTGATGGGGTGGCAGGGTAATGGGGTGGCAGGGTGATGGGGTGGCAGGGTGATGGGGTGGCAGGGTGATGGGGTGGCAGGGTGATGGGGTGGCAGGGTGATAGGGTGGCAGGGTGATGGGGTGGCAGGGTGATGGGGTGGCAGGGTGATGGGGTGGCAGGGTGGCAGGGTGATGGAGTGATGGGGTGGCAGGGTGATGGGGTGGCAGGGTGATGGGGTGGGAGGGTGGCAGGGTGATGGGGTGGCAGGGTGATGGGGTGATGGGGTGGCAGAGTGATGGGGTGGCAGGGTGGCAGGGTGGCAGGGTGGCAGGGTCATGGGGTGGGAGGGTGGCAGGGTGATGGGGTGGTAGGGTGATGGGGTGATGGGGTGGCAGGGTGATGGGGTGGCAGGGTGATGGGGTGATGGGGTGGTAGGGTGATGGGGTGGCAGGGTGGCAGGGTGACGGAGGAGATGGGGCGTGGGGGGAAGGAATTTGCTGTGGCGCTTTGTGGCCACGGTGGCCTGGAGATTCTCATACCCTTTGGGTCTTTCGGTAAAGTCACGTCGGTAAAAAAATAAAAAAAATCACGACGTTTCGGACGCAACACAAGCGTCCATCATCAGGCTGTGGTTTAATTTATTTTTTTATTTTTCTACCTACGTGACTTTATCGAAAGAACCACAAAGAGTATGGATACTTGCATTTCACGAAAACTTCAAGTCTGGAATGAGATTCTCATCTCCGCTGCACCACCACCACCACCGCCCCCACCCACCCGGCCACCAGACCACGTTAAAAAACCAAAACACCTCCACGGATGACGCTAACGTCATCTGGTCCAACACCATGTGAGACTAGGCTTTAAGGAAAGCTGTCTCGGGTGTGGACCGATTAACTTCAAGGACAGTGCATACATTATCAGAGTTGTGTTTTTTGTTTGCATTACGGCTGCAGGTATTGTGGTCTATGCAAACATGACTCCTTGTAAAAAAAGGTGTCAGTTTTGTTGCCAGATAGAAGGGTAAAAAAAACAATTATCATATTTTTTTACTGGCAAATGAGGTTCCAATGGTGTAAATGCTTACCCCGAGCTCTCATACTCTGATGGTGCATTGTCTTTGAGTTGTGCGCCTTTTGGCGTCATCTGGTCCAACCCATGTGAGACTAGGCTCTAAGGAAAGCTGTCTCGGGTGTGGACCAATCAACTTCAAGGACAGTGCATACATTATCAGAGTTATGTTTTTTGTTTGCATTACGACCGCAGGTATTGTGGTCTATGCAAACATGACTCCTTGTAAAAAAAGGTGTCAGTTATGTTGCCAGATAAAAGGGTAAAAAACCAATTGTCATTTTTGTTTCTTCCGGCAAATGAGGTTCCAATGGTGTAAACCTCCACGGCTTCTCCGCACGTCTGTTTAATGGTCCTTTGCCTCTGCCCCTACAGGAGCTGGCCGCCTTGCGGGCGCAGCTGGAAGGGTCATCGATGTCGGTGGAGGTGGACAGCGCCAAGGGCAAGGACCTGCACAAGATCCTGGCCGAGATCCGGGCTCAGTACGAGGGGATGATCGCCAAGAACCGCGTGGACCAGGAGGAGGCCTTCAACAAACAGGTCGGGCAGTGGGAAGCCACCACAACTAGCACAACCACCACCACAACCACCACAACCACCACCACAACCACCACCAGTATCATAACAACCACCCCCACAACCACCACTATCATCACAACCACCAACACAACCACCACAACCACCACCACTATCATCACAACCACCACCACAACCACCACTATCACCACAACCACCACTATCATCACAACCACCACCACCACCCATCACCACTATTACCACAACCACCACCACCACCGATCACCACTATTACCACAACCACCACCACCACCGATCACCACCATCACCACAAACACCACCACAACCACTATCATCATAACCACCACAGCAACAACCACCACAACCACGATCACCACAACCACTATCACCATAACCATTATCACCACAACCACGATTACCACAACCACCACAGTAACAACCACCACAACCACTATCACCACATCCACTGGTGGTCGTGGTTGTAGTGGTGGTCGTGGTTGTAGTGGTGGTTGTATTGGTGGTTGTAGTGGTGGTGGTGGTTGTCGTGGTGGTGGTGGTTGTAGTGGTGGTGGTGGTTCTAGTGGTGGTGGTGGTTGTAGTGGTGGTGGTGGTTGTAGTGGTGGTGGTTGTAGTAGTGTAGTGGTGGTGGTGGTTGTCGTGGTGGTGGTGGTTGTAGTGGTGGTGGTGGTTCTAGTGGTGGTGGTGGTTGTAGTGGTGGTGGTGGTTGTAGTGGTGGTGGTTGTAGTAGTGGTAGTGGTGGCGGTAGTAGTAGTAGTGGCAGTTGTAGTAGTAGTAGTGGTAGTGGTTGTAGTAGTAGTAGTGATAGTAGTAGTGGTTGTAGTAGTAGTGGTGGTGGTGGTTGTAGTAGTAGTGGTGGTGGTGGTTGTAGTAGTAGTGGTGGTGGTAGTAGTAGTGGTTGTAGTAGTAGTAGTGGTGGTTGTAGTAGTAGTAGTGGTGGTGGTTGTAGTAGTGTAATGCGGGCGTAAATGGGCGGGGCGGATATGACGATCCGAGAGGGAGGAGTCAGGGTGACGTGGGGGAGAAGTTATAGCGGGGAGACAGGAAGCTATCTGGGTCAGTCGGGGGAGTGAAGGGTGGTGAACACGTTGGGTGGTCGCCGTGCCTCAGCCTGGTGGCTGAGGGGCTCATGACGGCGCCAGCCAGCGGGATGGAAGAGAGAGTGGAGGATTGAGGTTGGAGATGGCGAGATAGCCACAGAGGCCACGAAGGGCAGAGGTAGGAAGTGGCGAGATAGCCACAGAGGCCACGAAGGGCTGAGGTAGGAAGTGGCGAGATAGCCACAGAGACCACGAAGGGCTGAGGTAGGAAATGGCAAGATAGCCATAGAGGCCACGAAGGGCTGACGTTGGGAGGTGGCGAGATCGCCACGCACGGAGGAACAGGGAGCAGCGATGGAGCTGCTGTGAGAGCAGCCAGAGGGCTGCACCAAGAGCCTGCAGCGGAGCTGCAGGAGCGTGGAAGGCTACGGGAGCGAAGGCAGATGTGGGGCTGCCAGGGAGAGAGTCTCAGGAGGAGTGCCGTGTGGGAAGGAGAACGCGAACCCCAAATAAAGGACACGGAGTCAGAGAGAAGTGTCTGAGTCCTTTTATTACAGTAGTAGTGGTGGTGGTGGTTGTAGTAGTAGTGGTGGTGGTAGTAGTAGTGGTTGTAGTAGTAGTAGTGGTGGTGCTACACGGTGGCTGTGCTCACACTGCCACGAGGATGAGGAGTAGGAGATTAAGTTGGGTTGGTGCACTCTCCACTAACCGCTGTCCCACCCCAACCTGGGTCACTCCGCTCCCTGCTGCAGGCCCAGTCGGTGCAGGTGGTGGTTGTAGAGGTGGTGGTTGTAGTGGTAGTAGTGGTAGCGGTAGTAGTGGTGGTGGTGGTTGTAGTAGTGATGGTGGTTTTAGTAGTAGTGGTGGTTGTAGTAGTGGTGGTTGTAGTGGTAGTAGTGGTGGTGGTTGTAGTGGTAGTAGTGGTAGCGGTAGTAGTAGTAGTGGTGGTGGTGGTTGTAGTAGTGGTGGTAGGTGGTTGTAGTAGTAGTGGTGGTTGTAGTAGTGGTGGTGGTTGTAGTAGTGGTGGTGGTTGTAGTAGTAGTGGTAGCGGTAGTAGTAGTAGTGGTGGTGGTGGTACGCGGTGGCTGTGCTCACACTACCACGAGGAGTAGTAGACAAAGTTGGGTTGGTGCACTCTCCACTAACCGCTGTCCCACCTGGGTCACTCTGCTCCCTGCTGCAGGCCCAGTCGGTGCAGGTGGTGGTGGTTGTAGTGGTGGTTGTGATGGTGGTTGTAGTAGTGGTAGTGGTGGTTGTAGTAGTAGTGGTTGTAGTAGTGGTAGTGGTTGTAGCAGTGGTGGTAGTGGTTGTAATAGTGGTTGTAGTAGTAGTGGTGGTTGTGGTGGTGGTTGTGATGGTGGTTGTAGTGGTAGTGGTTGTATTAGTGGTGGTGGTTGTAGTAGTAGTGGTGGTTGTAGTGGTGGTTGTGATGGGTGTAGTAGTGGTGGTAGTGGTGGTGATGGTAGTAGTAGTAGTGGTGGTGGTAGTAGTGGTGGTTGTAGTGGTAGTAGTGAGTGGTTGTAGTAATAGTAGTGCTACTCAGTGGCTGTGCTCACACTACCATGAGGATGAGGAGTAGTAGACTAAGTTGGGTTGGTGCACTCTCCGCTAACCGCTGTCCCACCCCTACCTGGTTCACTCAATCCCTACCGCAGGCCCAGTCGGTGCAGGTGGTGGCCGTGCAGCACTCACAGGCATCGCAGGCTGCCAAGGTGGAGGTCACGGAGACACGGCGCGCCATGCAGAGCCTCCAGGCTGAGCTCGATTCTCTACGAGGCCTGGTGAGTTTGCCCTGCAGCCGTCGGGCGCTGCTGCTGCCTGGGCTACTGGGCAGTGCCAGGCTAGGTGCACCGTGAGGCTGCTGGGCTACTGGGCAGTGCCAGGCTCTGCTCCCTTCCACGCACTCTCCTGCCTCTCACCTCTCATCTCACTCCCCTCTCATCTCACTCTACTCCCCTCCACGCATCCTCCTGCCTCTCCCCTCTCATCTCACTCTACTCTCATCTCACTCCACTCTCATCTCACTCCACTCCCCTCCACGCACTCTCCTACCTATCCCCTATCATCTCATTTCACTCCACTCCTCTCCACGCATTCTCCTACCTCTCCCTTCTCATCTCACTCCACTTTCATCTCACTCCACTCCCCTCCACGCACCCTCCTGCCTCTCCCCTCTCATCTCACTCCACTCCCCTCCACGTTCTCTTCCGCCTCTCCCCTTTCATCTCACTCCACTCCCCTCCACGCTCTCTCCTGCCTCTCCCCTCTCATCTCACTCCCCTCCACGCACTCTCCTGCCTCCCCCCTCCACTCCCCTCCCCTCCACTCCGCTCCACGCACTCTCCTGCCTCTCCCCTCTCATCTCACTCCACTCCCCTCCACGCATTCTCCTACCTCTCCCTTCTCATCTGACTCCACTTTCATCTCACTCCACTCCCCTCTACACACTCTCCTGCCTCTCCCCTCTCATCTCACTCCCCTCCACGCACTCTCCTGCCTCCCCCCTCCACTCCCCTCCCCTCCACTCCGCTCCACGCACTCTCCTGCCTCTCCCCTCTCATCTCACTTCCCTCTCATCTCATTCCACTCCTCTCCACGCACTCTCCTGCCTCTCCCCGCTCATCTCACTCCACTCCCCTCCACGCACTCTCCTGCCTCTCCCCTCTCATCTCACTCTACTCCCCTCCACGCACTCTCCTGCTACCCCCTCCACTCCCCTCCCCTCCACTCCGGTCCACGCACTCTCCTGCCTCTCCCCTCTCATCTCACTTCACTCTCATCTCACTCCACTCCCCTCCACGCTCTCTCCTGCCTCTCTCATCTCACTCTACTCCCCTCCATACACTCTCCTACCTCTCCCTCTCATCTCACTCCACTCCAAGCACTCTCCTGCCTCTCCCCTTTCATCTCACTCCACTCCCCTCCACGCACCCTCCTGCCTCTCCCCTCTCATCTCACTCCCCTCCACGCACTTTCCTGCCTCCCCCCTCTACTCCCCTCCACTCCCCTCCACTCCCCTCTCATCTCGCTCTCACCCCCTCCTCTTCCTCTCCCCTCTCATCTCACTCCACTCTCATCTCACTCCCCTCCACTGCACTCTCCTGCCTCTCCCCTCTCATCTCACTCCACTCCACGCACTCTCCTGCCTCCCCCCTCCACTCCCCTCCACTCCACTCTCATCTCACTCCACTCCCCTCCACGCATTCTCCTACCTCTCCCTTCTCATCTCACTCCACTCTCATCTCACTCCACTCCCCTCCACGCACCCTCCTGCCTCTCCCCTCTCATCTCACTCCCCTCCACGCACTCTCCTGCCTCCCCCCTCCACTCCCCTCCACTCCACTCCCCTCTCATCTCACCCTTCCTCCTGCCTCTCCCCTCTCACTCCACTCCCCTCCACGCATTCTCCTACCTCTCCCTTCTCATCTCACTCCACTCTCATCTCACTCCACTCCGCTCCACGCACTCTCCTGCCTCTCCCCTCTCATCTCACTCCACTCCCATCCACGCACTCTCCTGCCTCTCCCCTCTCATCTCACTCTACTCCCCTCCACGCATTCTCCTGCCTCTCCCCTCTCATCTCACTCCACTCCCCTCCAAGCACTCTCCTGCCTCTCCCCTCTCATCTCACTCTACTCCCCTCCACGCACTCTTCTGCCTCTCCCCTCTCATCTCACTCCACTCCCCTCCACGCACTCTCCTGCCTCTCCCCTCTCATCTCACTCTACTCCCCTCCACGCATTCTCCTGCCTCTCCCCTCTCATCTCACCCCCTCCCCCTGCCTCTCCCCCCCCCCCTATCCACGTTGTCCCAGATCCGCTCGCTGGAGGACCAGCTCCAGGACACGGAGGAGCGCAACGCTCGCGACCTCTCCACCTACACGATGCAGATCCAGCGCCTGGAGGGTGAACTCTCGAACCTGCGCCACGGCATCAACCAGCAGCTGAAGGAATACGCGGATCTCCTCAACATGAAGATGAAGCTCGAGGCGGAGATCGCCACCTACAGGCGCCTGCTGGAGGGGGAGGATAGCCGGTAAGGTGGTGGTGGTGATGGTGGTGGTGGGGGTGGTGGAGGGGGTGGTGGAGGGGGTGGTGGTGGTGGTGGTGGTGGTGGTGGGTGGGGGTGGTGGTGGTGGGGGTGGTGGTGGTTGTGGTGGTGGTGGTGGGGGTGGGGGTGGTGGTGGTGGGGGTGGTGGTGGTTGTGGTGGTGGGGGTGGTGGTGGTGGAGGGGGTGGTGGAGGGGGTGGTGGTGGTGGGGGTGGTGGAGATGGTGGTGATGGTGGCGGTGGTGGTGGGGGTGGTGGTGGTGATAGTGGGGGTTGGTGGTTGTGGTGGTGGTGGTGGTGGGGGTGGTGGTGGTGGTGGTGGGGGTGGTGGTGGTGATGGTGGGGGTTGGTGGTTGTGGTGGTGGTGGTGGTGGGGGTGGTGGTGGTGGTGGTGGTGGGGGTGGTGGAGGTGGTGGTGGGGGAGTTGGTGGTGGTGGAGATGGTGGTGGTGGGTGAGAGATGGTTGTGATGGTGATGGAGATGGTGGTGGTGGTGATGGAGATGATGGTGGTGGGGGAGGGAGTTAGTGGATGGTGGTGCTGGTGGGGGAGATGGTTGTGGTGGTGATGGTGGTGGTGGAGATAGTTGTGGTGGTGATGGAGATGGTGGTGGATGGTGGTGGAGGTGCCAACCACACGTCCCCACGTATCAGTCAATCACAACAACCAACGCCCTCCGACCCCTATCAATTATAATGTTAACACCCCCATGCATCCATCTTGCTGATCCTACGCAGACACAACAACAACAACCACCATTAGCCACTAAGTGGCGTTGACGTCACCACGACGCTTGTGCCAGGCTACGTGCACGTTGAGGCCACGTGAAGTGTCGAACGCCCGCTGGCAGGAGGTCACGGGGCAGACCCAGCAGGTGCCACGGGTCGACTGACTGAGATGACTGGCCGATGCACCACCTGTGCCCCCTACTGTGCCAACTTGCTGTGCTTTAGCCACCCGGCGTTCACACACACACACACCACCACCACAACACCACACCCCCATCAATGGCATAACATCCCCACACATATCGCATGCTCTCATCCCACCAAAACCCACGCATCCGATACATCCATCCCACCCAAACCCACCCACATCGTGTGCCAGTTTGGCTCTGTGAGTGGCGTCTGTGGCCGTCAAAGGACCGCTTGCTCACTCAACAGCACTTGCCCCGACATCCTGCGTGAAGGCTACACGGGCCACCTTTGCCTGCGTCTTTGTTTCCTCTGTTAGTTTCGACCGAGATTTAGAACCGGTCCTGGGCCTCATCCCCAATAGGCCGTCTCGGCCTCAAATGGGTTCCTGGTGGTAGCGGCGTGTAGTGAACATCGCCACTGGGGAGACAAAGGCGGCCGGGTGTGATGCTGGCCACCCACCCCCAGTGCTTGTCGTTCAGGCCTTCATAGGCGCTGCTCGCTAACAGCACTTGCCCCGACGGTCTGTCAAGGCTACACGGGGGATCTTTGTCTTTGGACGTAAACAATTATTGATTTGTTGTTCACCTCCCCCCCCCCCATGTTCCTCCTCCGTTTTCTCTGTGACTCCCCCTCCCCCCACTCTCACCACCACCACCAACAACAACAACAACCCCAGGATGGGCAACATCTCTGCCAACTCCACCTCCGGGTTGATCACCGTGAGCGGTGGCGGCGGCGGCGGCGGTGGAGTCTCCGGCGGTGGTGGTGGCGGTGGTGGCATGAGCATGACCATGACCAGCAGCAGCAGCAGCAGCGGCGGTGGTGGTGGTGGTGGCGGCATCAGCAGCAGCGGTGGTGGATCGGTGGTGAAGACCACGACCACCAAGGAGTCGTCCAGCTACTCCACCGGCTACCGCTCTTGAATGCCAAAAGGTGAACAGCGAATTCCACCCCCCCGCCTCCCCCCCTACCCGGTTTAAATTTGGACAAAAACAAAAACACGCGGACATGAAAAGCGACTCTCTCTCGGAGATAGAACAAAAGTTTCGTGGCTGCTTGACGAAAACAAGTTTAAACGCCCCCCCCACCAAAGTGGACTCATTTGAGGCTGAGTCGACCTAGGAGGGGGACGAGGCACAGGACCAGGTTCAAGATAATTCGTGACTGGTGCTTGTGCCAGGCCAGGTGCACCTTGAGGCCACGTGAATCGTCAAAGACCTCGCTGGCGGGAGGTCACGGGACAGACCCTGCAGGTGCCATGGGTTGACCGACTGAGATGACCGGCAGATGCACCACCAGCTCCCCCCTACTTTGTCAACCTGCTGTGTTTTACTCGCCCGGCGCTCCGCTCCTCCGCCCTCCGTTGTTGTTGGAGGGCGACTGCCTCCAACTGCCCAGTAGCGTCCTTCACGAGCCTCCTCCACAGAGGCCGACCTTGACACCGTTGGTACCAGTCATCGGCAAGTCCACTCAGCTCCACGTCCTCCTGTACCACGTCACTCCATCTCGTCTCTAGCCCGTGCCCGTTTAGCCCCCTCGATCCGGCCGAACAAAAGCTGTTTAGGCATGTGGTGACTGGGCAAGCGGGCTACATGACCCAGCCAACGCAGCCTTGCCTGCCGGAGGAGCTCACCGATGGGACTTTGCCCAGATCTGTCAAGGATTTGTCAGCTCCTCACACAATCCAACCTGGTTAAACCCAGGATGGATCGTAGGCAGGCCAGCCTAAATGTTTCTAACCGACGAAGATGTTCTATTTAGGGGGGTCCACGGTTCTCAAGCGTAGAGAAGGGACGGAATGAGCGTGGCCGAGAAGACCTGAAGCTTCGTGCCACAAACACACACACACATACGACGTCTCGTCGGTTGCTAGGAGACGGGAAACAACATCAACAACAATAACAGTAATTTTCAATGGCACTCGGAAATGATCCCTTGTAAAGCGTTCACTTCGCCTGTCATGCCAAGGGTCTGTCCCTTGCCGGCTTAAGGGATCTAGAGGAACACACAAGTCGCTCTGTGTGAGTGGTGGTGTTGTTGTTGTGGTGTCCTCCCTTACGCACACATCCCGAACGCATGCAGCTGTTGTTACTCGATATTACACAGAAGGGGACACTGACAAACAAAGACAAAGAAATCCTGTGTGTACTCTTTGGTTCTCTCGATAAAGTTACGTAGGTTGTTTAATTTAGTGTGTTCCTTCTCCCTCTTAGCCTGCGTACTTTACTACGCGTCTCTTCGTACTCATTGACATGTAAATTTTTTCTCTAACCCCCTCCCTCTCTCTGCCTCCGCCCCCTCTGTCTATTTAAGGCCAACCCACAGAGACGATCACCCCTCTCTGTACCTGTGTTGCTCTCTCTGTGTATCTTGGTGATATCTGTCTGCTTATGTCTGTCTGTGGTTTTCTGGTTAGATTTTGTGTCGCTATTTCATTATACCTGATGATGAATGCTTGTGTTGCAATCGAAACGTCGTATGCTATTATTTAATTTATAATTTTATCTTTAGACGTGACTTTACCGAAAGAACCAAAGAATAATTCCTGCAGTCACGAAAGCTCCAAAATTAAGATTAAAATAAAAAGATTTTTTTCAAAAAAAAAATATTGTATTAAATTTTTTTTTGGTGGCGGCAGCATTTATATTTGCGCGATCTAACCCAACGAAAACTTCTATTGTGATGTTGTAGAGTTACATTGAACACGTGGTTATACCGCCATTTTATGCCTAAACCGAGACCCCCCTCCCCCCACCCCTTGCCTGGACCCGCAGCTGCTCCTGTGCAGTTCGAGAGCTCGAGAGCGACGGCTGCTGCTGCCCGACTCGAAGAAGCCACGTGGCTCGAATGGAAGCCCTGACGTCACAAAGGCCATGGCGTCTCTCTCTCTCCTCTCGTGTCTCTCTCTCTCTCTCCCTGTGTCTCTCTCTCTCTCCCTGTGTCTCTCTCCCGCCGTGTCTCTCTCTCCCCCCGTGTCTGCTTCTCCCCATGTCCCCCTTCATCACCGTGTCCCCCTCCCCCCTCCCCCCCCGTGTCTCTCTCTCTCCCCGTGTCTCTCTCCTCGTGTCTCTCTCTCTCTCCCTGTGTTTCTCTTTCCCCCCGTGTCTCTCTCTCGCCCCCGGTGTCTCTCTCTCCCTATGTCCCCCTTTATCACCGTGTCCCCCTCCCCCTCCCCCCGTGTCTCCCTCATGCCCCCTGTGTCTCACTTCCCAGTGTCTCCCCTCCCCGTGTCTCCCCCGTGGGATTGAGAGAGTGGCCAATAAAAGCTCATTTCAAAAACAAAAAAAATCCGACAGACCTCGTTCCTGTGAATTCCTCTGCTGTGTGGTTTTTCTGAGTGCAGTGTAAGGCCAGTGGTGGGCGCGTAAAATTTCGACTTAAAGCTTTCGTGACTGCAGGGATTAATCTTCTTGGTTCTTTCAGTAAAGTCACGCAGAAGGGAAGTAATAAAATAATAAAAATAAAACATAATAAAATAATTCTCACGACGTTTCGGCCACAACGCAAGCAGCCGTCCTCAGGCGGAGAACAGGTCTGTCGAGAAGACAGAGTCTGAATGTTGCTTGCGTTGTGGCCGAAACGTCGTGAGAATTGTATTTTATTATGTTTTATTTTAATTTTATTATTTCCCTTCTACGTGATGACTTTACCGAAAGAACCAAGAAGAAGAGTCACAGTACTTCGCAAGGCTTCATTTTGCAAAAGGGAGCTGGCAAATTCCCATAGATCCGAGCCATTGACATAAAGCGGCCTTCACAACCCATGATGCGGACAATGCCCCTCGGGGTTGCGAACGCTCCAGCAGGTGCTAAGGGACCGTCCATAAATGACGTCACGTACCTGGGGTGGGGGGGGGGGGGTCAGACATTTGTGACGATGTGTGACGAGGGGGGGGGGTGAGAAATGTGACGTCACATCATAATGCGCAACTTTAAATGAATATAGACAACACGTTCTACTTAATTAAATCGACTTTTTGATCAATGTTTTCTACTACAACATCAGAGTGCAGCGCCACATTAAATACGCACTACAATGAGAATAGTTTAAAGCGATTTGTTGTGGATTTACTCTCCGACACACCGGTAGGCTGAAGCAGTATACTACACTATACACTACTATACACTACACTACTATACACTACACTATACACTACACTATTTACTACACTATACACTACACTATACACTACACTATACACCACTATACACTACACTACTATACACTACATTATACACTACACTATACACTACACTATACACTACACTAAATACTACACTAAACACTACACTATATACTACACTATACACCACTATACACTACACTATAAACTACACTATCCAACACTATACACTACTATACACTACACTATACACTACACTATACACTACACTATACACTACACTATACACTACTATACACTACACTATATACTACACTATACACTACACTATACACTACACTATACACTACACTATAAACTACTATACACTATTCTTGGTTCTTTCGGTAAAGTCACGTAGAAGGGAAATAATAAAATAATAAAAATGTTCAACAATTAAAAAGACACTACAGTATACACTACACTATAAACTACTATACACTGCACTATACATTACTATACACTACTATACACTCCACTGTACACTACACTATAAACTACTATACACTACACTATACACTACACTATGTACTACACTATACACTACACTATACACTACACTATACACTACACTGTACACTTCACTATACACTACACTATACACTACACTATAAACTATGATACGATACACTACACTATAAACTACTATACACTACACTATACACCACTATACACTACACTATACACTACACTATACACTACACTATAGACTACAGTATTTACTGAACTATTTACTACACTATAAACTATGATACGATACACTACACTATAAACTACTATACACTACACCATAAACTAGTATACACTACACTATAAACTACTATACACTACACTATACACTACACTATAAGCTATATACTACACTATACACTACACTGTGCACTACACACTATAAACTACTCTACACTATACGAGTAACTATTTGGCGTTTTATTCACGTGACAAATCACCTTACTAATTGGCTGTGTCGGGTGGTGGAGGGTTTCGACGCATTTATACTTTGGCGATCTAACCCAAAAAAACCCCTTCATCGTGAGTAATGGACTGTCTGGGACATTGCGTGGGAGAAGGTGGCATGGGGCCACTGGAAAAAAGAAACTTGGCAAGAGATCGGAGGCAAAAACTCCCAAAAACAAGAAGAAGCTTTGGCCCATTCATCTTCTTGGTTCTTTCGGTAAAGTCACGTAGAAGGGAAGTAATAAAATAATAAAAATTAAACATAATAAAATACAATTCTCACGACGTTTCGACGTTTCGGCCACAACGCAAGCAGCCGTCCTCAGGTGAAGACCAGGTCTGTCGGGGAGACAGCGTCAGATTCAGACGCTGTCTCCCCGACAGACCTGGTCTTCACCTGAAGACGGCTGCTTGCGTTGTGGCCGAAACGTCGTGAGAATTATTTTATTATGTTTTATTTGTATTATTTTATTACTTCCCTTCTACGTGACTTTACCGAAAGAAGCAAGAATATGAATCCCTGCAGTCACGAAAGCTTTAAATCGAAATTTAACTTTGGACCTTTCTCAGGCTGGTGGGATATCACCAGAAATGTATCCAAAATGTTGCCTCGACGAATAGAATAGAGAGAGATATTGAGGCAACGCAACCATTTGAGATACTCAAGAAATGCTCTGACCCACGAGCCGATGTTGAGGTTGGCTGATGAGAACAAAAACCGATTGTGTCACGAACCGATGCATCAGATACGGGCCATGGGGGGCAGTCATCCTCCAGGAGCATGCGGAGAATTATTCTCGGTGAGTGAGTGAGTGAGTGGGTGAGAGGGTGAGAGGGTGAGTGAGTGGGTGAGAGGGTGAGTGAGTGGGTGACTGGGTGAGTGGGTGAGTGGGTGGGTGAGTGGGTGACTGGGTGAGTGAGTGGTGCAAGTGGGTGACTGGGTGAGTGAGTGAGTGACTGGGTGAATGAGTAAGTGGGTGACTGGGTGAGTGAGTGAGTGGGTGACTGGGTGAGTGAGTAAGTGGTGCAAGTGGGTGAGTGAATGAGTGGGTGAGAGGGTGAGTGGGTGAGAGGGTGAGTGGGTGAGAGGGTGAGTGGGTGAGTGGGTGAGTGAGTGAGTGGGTGACTGGGTGAGTGAGTGAGTAAGTGAGTGAGTGAGTGGTGCAAGTGGGTGACTGGATGAGTAAGTGAGTGGGTGACTGGGTGAGTGGGTGACTGGGTGAGTGAGTGAGTGAGTGGTGCAAGTGGGTGAGTGAGTGAGTGGGTGAGTGAGTGAGTGGTGTAAGTGGGTGACTGACTGAGTGAGTGACTGAGTGAGTGAGTGGGTGACTGAGGTGAGTGAGTGAGTGAATGAATGACTGGGTAAGTGGGTGACTGACTGAGTGAGTGGCTGAGTGAGTGAGTGGATGACTGAGTGAGTGAGTGGGTGACTGGGTGACTGAGTGAGTGGTGTAAGTGGGTGAGTGAGTGAGTGAGTGACTGAGTAAGTGGGTGACTGGCTGAGTGAGTGAGTAGTGTAAGTGAGTAAGTGAGTGAATGACTGGGTAAGTGAGTGGGTGAGTGAGTGGTGAAAGTGAGTGAGTGAGTGGGTGACTGAGTGAGTGGTGTAAGTGGATGACTGAGTGAGTGACTGGGTGAGTGGTGTAAGTGGGTGACTGAGTGAGTGAGTGACTGAGTAAGTGGGTGACTGGCTGAGGGAGTGAGTAGTGTAAGTGAGTGAGTGAATGACTGGGTAAGTGAGTGGGTGAGTGAGTGAGTGGTGTAAGTGGATGACTGAGTGAGTGACTGAGTGAGTGGTGTAAGTGTGTGACTGAGTGACTGAGTGAGTGGTGTAAGTGTGTGACTGAGTGACTGAGTGAGTGGTGTAAGTGTGTGACTGAGTGACTGAGTGAGTGGTGTAAGTGAGTGACTGAGCGAGTAAGTGCCTGGGTGAGTGAGTGGGTGACTGAGTGACTGAGTGAGTGGTGTAAGTGTGTGACTGAGTGACTGAGTGAGTGGTGTAAGTGAGTGACTGAGCGAGTAAGTGACTGGGTGAGTGAGTGGGTGACTGAGTGACTGAGTGAGTGGTGTAAGTGGGTGACTGAGTGACTGAGTGAGTGGTGTAAGTGAGTGACTGAGCGAGTAAGTGACTGGGTGAGTGAGTGAGTGGGTGACTGAGTGACTGAATGAGTGGTGTAAGTGGGTGACTGAGTGACTGAGTGAGTGGTGTAAGTGAGTGACTGAGCGAGTAAGTGACTGGGTGAGTGAGTGAGTGGGTGACTGAGTGACTGACTGAGTGAGTGAGTGGGTGACTGGGTAAGTAAGTGAGTGACTGGCTGAGTGAGTGAGTGGTGTAAGTGGGTGACTGGGTAAGTAAGTGGGTGATTGAGTGAGTGAGTAAGTGAGTGACTGAGTAAGTAAGTAAGTGGGTGACTGAGTGAGTGAGTGGTGTAAGTGGGTGACTGGCTAATGATCTGACTATTCTCTACCCTCAGTCAGTTCAATCGGACGTCCTGCCCCTGGCCAGCCCAGGCTGCCACCCGTGATTCACGGCTCCAATCCTCATTTTTTTGTATTCGTCCATCGCGCAAAAATTCATTCCTGATCGGGGCGTTGTCACGCATCGTCTGGACAGACTCAAGACAAAGACAAAGATCCCCCATGTAGCCTTCAGCAGGCTGTCAGGGAAAGTGCTGTCGGGAGTGCACCATGCCCGGCCGCCTTTGTCTCCCCAGTGGCGATGTTTAACGCACAATTGCACCGGGAACTGATTTGAGGCTGAGTCTACCTAGAGGGAGGACAAGAACCGGTGAACGGCGATCGACCTCGGATAGCCACGTTCGGAGCGCAGCGCGGTAACTGCTACACTACCGCTCCACACACACACAGACACACCCACACACACTCACTCACACACTACACACTCACACACACTCACACACACCCCCACACACACACTCACACACACAAACACACTCACACACACTCAAACACACTCACACACTCACACACACTCACACACTACCGCTCCACACACACGGCTCGTTGTTGTGAGCGTCGCTCCTCCGCCCTCCGTTGTTGTTGGAGGGCGACTGCCTCCAACTGCCCAGTAGCGTCCTTCACGAGCCTCCTCCACCG